GTGAAGGGATACAAAGAAAAAATACATGGTTAATGGATTTGAAATTGACAACTGATGGGTTATTCCATACAACCGTGATCTTATTGTACTGTATGATGCCTATATCAATATTGAGCGTTGTGCACAACGCAAATTGATCAAGTACTTACATAAGTACATACATAAAGGTCCTAATTGTGCAACGGCTGTAATTGAAGATAATGTTAATTGACTAAACATTGATGGACAAAGTCGGTATAAAGAGGCTGATGAGGTAAAACAATACTTAGATTGTCGATATATCTCCGCAATTGAATGTTGCAGGCATATATTTGAGTTTGAATTGCAAAAGCAATACCCTTCAGTTGAACGGTTACAGTACCATCTACCTGGGAAACAATCCATTCTATTTAGAGACACAGATAACATTCCGTCAATTATTAATGAGCCGGGGGTTCACGAGACAATGTTTAAAAGGTGGTTTCAAGCAAACATACATCATGTAGAGGCGAATGCATTAACATATGAAAAGTTTCCTAGCTCATAGGTTTGGAACCAGAAACAGAAGTGGAAAATGAGACAACAACAAATATGCATAGGTAGATTATACTATGCATATCCTAATTTTGGTGGACGATATTATTTACGTATGTTGCTTACCAAGGTTTGAGGTGCAAAAAATTATGAAGATATTAGAATCGTTAATGGCATTGTGCATCCAACATTTAAATCTGCATGCCTTGCACTTGGCTTACTTGATGATGATAATGAGTGTGACGCAGTTTTAACAGAAACCTCAACATGGGCATCGGGTGCTCAACTGCAAAATATGTTTTTCTCAATGCTAATGTTTTCTGAGGTTACAAATGCATATGAATTGTGGGAGAATCATTGGTTTGACCTTACTAATGATTTACAATATAGGGTGCGAAGGCAAATTGGGGATGGCAATATACGTCTCGAAGAATGTGAAGTGAAAAATTTAGGATTGCTTGAAATTGAGCACATACTAAATCAGAATGGAAGGTCTCTTAAAGAGTTTCCTCCGATGCTACTATCATCATATCGATTAGGTGAAATGGTTACTAATAGGCTCATAAGGGAGGAACTGAACTACGATAGCATTTTAGAAATGTAATCTTTTGAATCTTTATATGTGGGATTGAATGATGACTAACTAAAAGTGTTTAACACCATAATGGAATCTTATTCCACTCATCATGGGGGCTTATTTTTTTGTGTATGGTAGTGGAGGAACTGGAAAGACATATTTATGGAACACTTTAATTGCAAAATTTTGATCCGATAAGAAGATCATTCTTTCTGTTGCATCATCAGGTATTGCAGCTTTGCTCTTACCCAATGGGCGAATTGCCCATTCTTGTTTCAAGATTCCAATTGACCCTGATAACTCATCATGTTGTTCAATAAATCAAGGGAGAGATTTGGCAAGGTTAATTGAAGAGGCGTTGTTAATTATATGGGATGAAGCACCAATGGTTAATCGTCATGCTTTTGAAGCTGTTGATCATACATTTAGGGACATATTGAAAAATACATAACATTGTTCAGAGGATAGGGTTTTTGATGGAAAACTATTTGTGCTTGGTAGTGACTTTAGACAAATATTGCCTGTCATACCTAGAGGTGGGCGTGAACAAATAGTGGAAGCTTCATCACCTAAGTCAATAATTTGGGGGCATTGTCAAGTTTTGCATCTTACCAAAAATATGTGTGTTACAGCACAAGATATTTCTAATCATACGCATCATGAATTACGTGACTTTGCAGAGTGGATTAAATTGGTTGGTGAAGGGAAAATAATGGAAAACTCATTTAGTGAAGGCTATGAACCTAATTGGATACAGATACCAGAAAAATTTGTTACAAAAAATGGAGAAAGAGATTTGCACCAGTTAATCGATGCCACATATCCTGATTTCATAAATAAATATCAGGATATGTCGTACTTAAAAGAACGAGGCATTTTATCTCCTAAGAATAGTGATGTAGACAAAATCAATTCTATTATGCTTTCGATGCTTCTTGAATAGTGAAAAGAGGACAATTTCCAATAAGGTTGGCATTTACTATGACAATAATAAGAGTCAAGGGCAAACTTTGAAGAATGTGGGCCTTTATCTTTCAAATCTAGTCTTCTCTCATGGCTAGTTGTATGTAGCTCTATTACGTGTCACCTCTCCATCAGACTTAAAGGTGTTGATTATTAATAAACAAGGCATACTGGATGATGTCACCAAAAATGTAGTTTACATAGAAAGTTTAGTGGTATTGATCAATAATTTTGTTCAAGAGTTTCAAATGTGTGTCATTTTCCTAGAAACAATTATTTTATTATTTCTCTTCATATATTGATTGTTTAAAATAAGTAATGTCATACATGAAAATATATGTTGCATTTGAAATTTACATGTTTATATTTAATTTAATTGTCTGTAAATATACTATGTTTAATTCATACAATTATTTTATTTTATAATTAAGTACCCTTCTTCTTCTTTTTTTTTTTTTTTTTTGAAGAAACAATTTTTATGTTAACAATTATCATTATAAATTTTACTCAAATAATAATAAATGTAGTTTATTATTAAAAAAAACTTGACTAACATTATGTAATTGTATATTAAATGTGTTAAATTCATTATGTAGATAAATATGTGGCCATCTCTAAATTTGCGCCCTAGTGATCGTTTGGCCATGCAAATGCCATAAATGAATTTGAAACTGTATCACATAAAGAGGGTTTATTAGTAGAAATTTTTGTTGATTGAAAAATCAAAATATGTCGAACAATGCAAAAATTAGGGAAAAAATAAGTGAAAAAAATTGATGAAAACAATATTAGACCTTTTACCATCGAGCTGGAATGAAGTAAAGGAAACAATTTTTCAAAAGTATGAAATCAAAGATGCCTCAAATTTAATGAATGCTTTAATGGAGGAGTGTGAAGTTCATCCTCTATGGATTGAACTTTAGAAAGAGTGGATAACTCCAAATTTAATGGCACGAAAGCATATGTTACATAAAGAGCAAGTGTTTTATAAGCTTATGAAAAAAAGGTTTCCAACCCCACATTGCAATATTAGTTCATGCTATAGTTAACACACTTCCAACCTCATGGTCTATTCAAGAAATTCATAAAAAAATTAAAAAAGACTTTCTAGACATAAGAGCATTGATAGTTATGTTGGAAGAAATTGAAAATGATATGATTTGTTTACAAGCATTGGATGAAGTGGAGCAACGCATTGGTAATGAAAATATTAAAGTGGAACAACAGCAATGGCAACAACAAAATAATAGTTGTGAAGAGAATAAAGTGAAGCAACAACCCAAAAATGAGGACAATTAAATCAACACTTCTTATAAGGTAATATATCTATTTTTTAAAGTTTGTTTGTATGTAAAAAATGATAACAAAAAAATGTTAACCCTTTTTTATGTTACAGGTACTTTTTGGGACATTTGGACATGATGAGTGACATCTATTGAGTTTTAAATTTATCAAATATAGATAGATTTGATTTATGACATTTAGTTTATTATTAATTTTTTTTAGCATATATATGTTTTAGACATTAGATTCATTGATAAACATCTTATTTATTGTTAATATAGATTATTTCATTAGTTAGAAATAAAGTTTATTATTTTAAGAAAAATAACTCAATTTGATATTTATAACATTTTATGAATATTTGCTTTGAAATATTGTCTTCACTTATGAAATTTGAAAAGATAATCTCTATGCATTATGATTATAATTTTATGAGTTAACTTAGAAATTAATGCATTATTAAAAAATTTACACACTCTTAAACCAATCTTGTGCATAGCACGCCTATACCACTCGTATATAATACAATCATATGTGTATAAGTATACAACGGAATAATATTATACTAATCTCCTCCAGTGATTGTTGATAAAGTTGTGTGATGTGTGTATACCTTGTAAATAAGAATAAGCGCCTTCTAAAAATCACAAGCCTATTTATAGTTGCTAGATATTTTATTAGATAAACCTTATTAGTTTCCTTCCATCAAAGAAACTTACCAATTAGGGGAAATTAATAGACCTTAGTCAAACCATTATTAGAAGGGCAACCTCAATAATTATCACTCATAACTTTAAATAATTAATAAAGTAAAGATAAATATATATGAAAGGATAAATATATAAGTAATATATAATTTATAAGTAATGTACATGTGGGCCACATCAAGTCTCACTTGACTTACATCTTGTAGTCATTTGTGATTATTAAAACTTGCATGGAAGGAGCGCATAACGATTTTAAGATAACGTCTTAGACATGTCTCTAACAATTATACAGGTTATTTTCTGAACTTTTCCTTCATCTTCGTCTTATTTTGCTATATATGGATATATAATTTTATCAAATTGTACAAACTTTCCTTCATCTTCGTCTTATTTTGCTATATATGGATATATAATTTTATCAAATTGTACAAACCTATTTTTAAAATTTGTTGTGTTTAATATTTTTGTTCTGTAAAATTAATTTAGAATAATTATTGTTCAATTCTCACAGCAATACGATGATCCAGAAAAATGCATTAGATGGGGGTGTGTATCAAACGGTTTCCCAAGTCAATATCCTAAACGAGTCCTGAAATGCATAAAAAAAAGAGTTAAAAGGCAAGGCAAACTGCAAACTGAAGTTCGAATTCAAGAAACATTTTTTGTTTATTTATTTATTTATTTTTCTGTTTTTCTATCAAAGTTCATGTTGTCATGTTTTTACAGTCCAAAATATTCACACATTTGAGTTCCATAATTGTGATAAAAAAAAAAACTGTAATACCAGCAGATTTGAGTTCCATTGCATTTCAAAACACTCAGATCCAGTTCGAATGCATTTGACCTTCTCCATACAATATGCATTTGGCCTTCTCTAAACAATATTCACGAGATCCTGCAAGGTCCCCAAGAACCAAGGCATTCATTTCCATATGACTTCAAAATGCCCCTTGTAATTACTAAAGTCACCGGAAACTGGTCACAACCATGGTTTTAAATAACAGTATTTGGATATGTATCAGAATTGGCGATACAATCAAATATTAGTATTGGACAGTATTGACCGATCTATTAATGAATAACGGCTGATATTTAAAACCATGGTATAACCGCATATTTTTTATAGTTTGACTACTGATTTCAGGAACCCAAAGCAACTTCCTTATGTCGATTGAGATCACTGAAACACTTTGTTGAGCTGTATTCTTCTGCATCCAAGAGCTCTTCTGAGAAAGTTCGTTGGAGATAACGTTTTTGACATTCTTTTGAACACCCCCGGAAGTAATTTTCACCTCTTAGAAGTATCACAACCTGCAAATCAGAAAATGAAACACAAATCAAACCACAACTTGAGCTTTTGCTTCCCGGGTTTATTTTGAATTTTCTTAGATAATTCATTTGTATTACCAACCAGATAAAATAATAATAATTCACCAGTATTTTGGCATAAACTATGGGCATGCTACAAAGAGCGGGAATGAGACGTGGCACAATTAATGTGGAATGCAATGAATCTACTTTACCATCCACATATTACAAGAGGTAATTGTGAAGGAAAAAAAGTGTGTGGACTCGCATATTCTACAAAATCCTTTCCTTTGAAGGGATTAAGAAATGAAAAAGAAAAAATAAAACACTAGGTTACATACCAACAAATCAAGCAAATTCTGGCTATGAGGCAAGGAAAAGAAGAGAACAATTCAGCATGCTAGCCAAACAATGTTTAAAAACATTCATAGCACGTTGAGTCACTTCAACATCCATAAAAAAGAATCCAACAAGAAAAAGAAAAAAAAAGAAAGATAATATACTTTTAAGTTTCTTGATCACATGCAGTTCAGATACCTTCAGCAATATTACTGTACAAGCAATACGTAAAAGCATTAGGAACATGTGTAATTCTGCCTTTTATGGAAGATTGTGATAGTTCAGTTAAATTACTTATCCAATTTGTGCATTTAAGCAATCTTTACAAAAGGAAATCTTAATTAGGCCAACAGAAACATTAGGGACAATGAGAAGTCATTCTATAATAGTCCCGGTGGGCCTAACCTGTTGTTGGACTATTTAGGTATGGAATGAAATATAGGACTTGATCTCACACATTCTATTTGGCCTGGGCCTTTGGTGTCTCGTTCATGTTCCCAACATATGGTAAGGGCTGTATTGGAGAGGGCAACCTGGAGCACATTGCGAGCTGTCCAAAATGAAAAAAGACTACTTGCCAGCAGAGTGAAAGATACAAGTGAGAGTCACTGAGGACAAAGGCTATGCTTATGGTCCTGGTGGGCCCAACTGCTGCCCCAAGAACCACTATGGTTATGGTCCTAGTGGAGCCAATCTGTGGTACAGGTCTAGGGATGGCCATGGACCAAGTCAGGCGGGGCCTATGCTACCAAAAAAACTCTCGAGCCCAAGCCTTCCCCCGCCATGGCATCAGGCCTAAAAACACATCCCGAGCTTGATCCTAAAATGATACTACAATCCCAGACCCACTCAACAATCCAAAATATTAGATAAAAAAATAAATGTTCCAAAATTAAAACTATACCAAATCCGGCCCAATAAATAAATGGGCCTAAAAGCTCAATCAAGCCCAGCCATACGGCCTACATATCAATATCAAGAACTTTAAAAAACTAGCTGGTTTGGGCGGACCACTAGGCCGGTGCCCACCCCTATATAGGACATAGACTATTCTAGTATGAGTATGGTCCGTTGGGAATAGGACTTGGTTCCATTATATGAGTTGAGTCTCTTGGCATATTAGTGACATTGTTTCCAAAAACACATCCATAGGTTTATTTGCCTGCCTTCTTAAAACATGCAGCAATTCTAACAAAAAGAAAAAGAAAAAGAAAATAACTCAAAAAAAGAAAAAGAAAAAAGAATGAAAAGACAAAAAAAAAAGAAGAGAAAGCACCCACGCAAAACTTGCTAAAATCCTAGTAGGATAAGTATGATCCTCCTCAGAGTGCAACATATCTTTCCCATACTTCACATAATACCATTCCCAACTTTCTTTCTTTTTTTATTTATCTATTTCACAAAGGAAACCTTCCCGTCCACTCCCTAAAGAACCATGCCCTAGCTACTCTTGTCTTCCGAAGTCCACCACTCCTCCACAAACAACTCTCCTTAAACTAAAACTATGATAATTATTTTTTCTACTTCAAGTACGTAGATTATTTATTATATTTTCCAGTGAAATCAGAGCAGGCTGCCCCCCCTGTTTCAAGAGGAAAATTGATTTCAGGTTTCCCAAACAGATTCATATTCCTTTTTCCACTTTTCCCAGCGGCAAAAAAGAAAACATAGAATAGGAAACTGTCAATTCTTTCATCTGAAGGGAAAATAAGTAGAAAGACCATATATGAATAAGAAGCAAAGAAACTAAAAAAGCAGCAGTCTTAAAATGGTTGCATATCAAATTCTGAATTTATTATTCACTAGTTTACACATTGAAATCAGAAATGTCATTATCTGCGGAAAAACAGGGTTTATCACTGAAATACTTGTGTGAATGCGAACCTGATTTAACCATGGATCAAAAGGTAATGAAAATTATATCCTTGTAAAAGGTTACATGCCTGATTCATTCGAGGACGTAGAATTGGACTCTGCTCTATGCACAAAGAGGCAGTTAAGATGACACGATCCATCTCTTCTAGGTCATAATTATCACCAAGAGAAGGATCCACAAGTTGCTTGACATTATTGTTATCGAGCAAAGGCTTTGCCTACAAATAACTTCAAATCATTATCTAAATGACTTTGATAAGAGCTACAAGCCAAAAAGGTGACAGTATGACAGGACTTGTAGAAACAAACTCACCCAAAGCACCAGGCTTTGCTGTGAATCATCCAAAGCTTCACGGCCTGTAATGAGTTCTAACAGTAGCACCCCGAAAGAAAACACATCAGTTTTCTCATCCACTATTCCATACATGAAGTATTCCGGAGCAAAATAGCTGTTGTTGAAGACAACGAAAAATTAAAACAACCCTTCATTAGCTTTAAAGTGAAGGGTTTTGGGGTCACATACCCAAATGTGCCTTCAAATTTTGATACAGTGTGGTGAGTCCATTCTTTTGGCAGCCATTTTGCGAGCCCAAAATCACAAATCTAGATAAAAATTGGCTAAGTTAGACATTACAACATAAATCCAAAGACAAGAAGTCTTCAAAACTTGGCAAGTTTGTGGCCATATGATCAGTGAAGATATAATTGTTGAAATCGAAATAAAGAATTTCTCATCATTTGTAGAAAACATTTTTCCATCAACTATTAAGATCTGAACACACAGATTAATAGATAATCGGTATCACATATTTAATTATTTCAAAATTATATGAGAAGGTAGAACTTTAAACAGAGAAAGACACAAATAAACGATTCAAAGAACAGATTCTAGAAAAAGCAGTGTAGTCTTCTTAACATGGATATTACAGCATGGAATGAAAATCTATTTCCACTACTCTGAGCCCGAGGGATGTTAAGTAGAAAATCAATTTGAGCCAAATTAAATAAATAATTTTATAAAGCTTTACCAAAAAGTAAAAATGTGAAAGGGGGAAGCTTGATGTGAGCATAAGGGATATGCCTTTAAAGCATACTCTTGGATCCAGAACCCTGCGTATCTTATGCCTTGAGTTTGAGGCTGCAGAAGGCAGAGGAGGCTTGAAAAGGATCCACTAAAATTTGAGGCGTATGCCTCAAAATAATAACAATAATAATAAACAATGTTCTTCTGGTAAGCTAGCAATACGGCTCTGTGTTTTATTTGAAATTTCTTTATAGAATTAAATTAACAGAACAAACGAATGATCAAGTGTCAAGTTGTTTTCCTAAATATGTACAGGAACATAATTACAATCTTGAGTGAAACATATTCACCTATCGGATTGATCATTTACAGTTGAAAAGGAATCAACTGCATTAATCTCGAGTTGCAATCTCTATGGTACAGACAAATTTCAACCTATGCCTTGAACCACCCCTTCCTCTTATTATAAGCTATTTTTCAGTTTTTAAGGCGGATAATCTCATGACACACCAAATTTGCACATTCATAAAAAAATGCCTTTTATTTTCCATAGGAGGAACAACAAAATACATATTTATGTGTGCTAACCATACCTATTTCATGTTCCAAGAGTATTAAGGACTTGTAGTTTATTTTTTAGTAGTGGTATTTTGAATAGAGAAACGCATTTTATGGACTTCATGGAATGTTCAACACAGGAACATGTGTTGGACACATTTTGGGCACTGACACCTTAATAACAAACTATTTTGTTTTGAGGTAATTTTTTCAGGCATTGCGTGGCGATTTCAGCCAGACGCCCATTTCACTGTCCCAGTTACCTAGATTCACCATATGTGCAAGTGTTAGGTTGCAACACTATTAGATTAATACAAATAGTTTTATCTATCTATTTAATTAATTGTCCTGGTCATCTGTTGATTTGAAAAATCAACCAGACTCGTCAATCAAAAACGCATGATTTGAAGGTTTTCACTTGTAGGAGCCACCCTACTAGCATGATAGCTATGTATCATAACCACATGATATGCAACTTCTGTTGATAGCTGCAAAGGGCTGCACACATGAAAGGAATTTTTCTTTGACTAACCAAATGGCCGTTAATAGAGTCGAGTGGAGAAGAAGGATTCACGTAGCCGACCCCATTTGATGGAACTTAAAGCTTGGTTTGGTTTGGTAATGGTAGTTCAAATTATATATAGTCAATAGTTATGCTAATTAAAAACTTCCCTTTCCCAGAATTACAAAAAATACCTCCATCTCCACTTCAAAGCCAACCACAAAACCTTCTCACATCAAGTTCGTGGATCTCCTCCATTATAAGGTTTTTAATGTTTATATAATTGACAATCACATGCAGCTGCAATATGCCTTGAATTTGATTCTAGTAGATCTAGTTTCAGTTGTCTTGCATTCATTAATTTCTTCTAATCAGAATAACTTCTTGAGATTGTGTACTTAGTCAAAAAAACTTATTGGAAAATTGATCTAAACCAAGCCACCATGCTTCTTGTGGCTTCATGAGAGTCCTTTGAACCATTTAATTTACATCACCATATTATTATTCCTTTCATGATCCTTTTCTCCTTACAGATGAAAGAAATAAAATAAAATAGTAGATAAAACTCAAACCATAGGAATCTCTCACATTAATTTCACTCCAAAATATTTTTAAATATCAATTAGTAAGAGTGGCATATATAGCGAGTATTAAAGGGAGGGCTATAACCCATAATTGTATACTTTCTCAAAGTGTTAATGACAATATAGATAGAGGATGCTGTTACAGTCTTGGGTTACATGGTCTTGTGTAGAACTCAACCCCAAACGCTAGTTATTGAGGTGAGGGTGCCCTCACACTCATATTCTTCACCCTCTAATTTCATGTTACATTGTAGGACTTCGCTTCACAGATACAGCTCAGTTGTAGGCTATATTCTGTCATTCTCCTCATCCCTTCTCTTTTTTCTTAGTGGTAACATTCATAAAATTATAATCCCTTATATCATTGATAATAAATAAATCTTAACCCTTTTTTTCCATATTATAAATTCCAGGAATTTTTTTATGTAATCAACCCAGACAGAACAAAAATTTGAGGATAAAATCATAGTTTTTAATTTCATTTCAACCATCCTCAGGGTTTGAAAGTTGAAAAAGGATACCTGAGGCTCAAAATCCTCTGTAAGAAGAATATTATCAGCCTTGATATCTCTGTGAATAATTCGCCTTTGGCAATACATGTGAAGATAGAGCAGGCCAGCAGCAGTCCCTAGAATAATCTTATACCTAACAGCCCAATCTAGTTTTTCCTTTGAGCCTAGAATATATGGATATGCATGAGAAGACCATAAACTAAAAGGAATGTATTAGAATAAAAAAGATGAGGGAAATTATGCACTAACCACGAAGAAGCGATCCTAAACTCCCAAGAGGAGATAACTGAAGAACAACATATGTTCCACCTTGAACTCCAAACCCAATCAACTTTGCAGTATTAGGATGATTTACATGGGCTATAGTGCCAATCTCAGTTAAAAAGCTTATTATCTGATCTTCTGTAGTCCCTTTGTTTGGCCGCTTAACTGCTACGAGCTGCCCGTCTGGCAAACAACCCCTGTAAACTTCAGCGTAACCACCCCTTGCGATCAGATTGTCTAAAAAAAGAAGAAGAAGAAGTTAAATTTGCATCCCAAACCATGTTATAATCAATTTTTTTAATTCACATTTGCCATGGAAGCAACAGAGAAATAAAAATAATATGAAATCAATAGAACTCTCTTTCAGAAGTCGGCAAGCTTCCAAGTGAGACTCTACTACATCTGGTCTGGCTATAAACTGGAAAGAAGTTTATGGATGCCAAACCAGTGTCATCAAAAAACACTAATACGCTAGTGATTTAGGTTTTGGAATGCACATTCCGAGGCATGGTACACTTTCATTCCAAAACAGTGAATTTAGGGATCTAAAGCGATCCCAAAAATATTTTCCAATATAAACCTTAAAATTTACCTTATAAGGAAAAGCAAATCAAATACAATAAACTAAAATCTAAGAAGAGTGGAGTTTTGGTTTGATAAAACGGGAAAAACGGGTCATAAATTATAATGTTCATAGAAATGTATTGTAACATGATTAATTGGAAAAAGAAAAAGCAACATTTTATTGGATAGCTAATTGTTAAAAGAAAATTTATCTAGAAGTCCTTTCAAATTTAATAATGTATCTAAACAAGTTTACCCCCATCGAACCATGCTTTAGATAATGTGGCATTCCACGTTCCTGATTCCATTTCATGTACCAAAACGATCCATGTTCCACCAGTTAAGAGAGTGCCAAGACTGTCAAGATTGTGGATTCAAATCTCTGGAACAAAACTTATACACACCTTTGCTAAAATTGTTGGTTGCAGTTAGGAGCTCAGAGAAGGTGAAGTTTTTCCAGGAAGACTTGAAATAACAGAAATCTGTATCTACATTTTCTCCCACACTTCTGCTCTCTCTTCTTGATATCTTTGGCACAGCAAAAGGCGGGAAGGAGGGTAAGCGCTTTATTGAGCTTTTTTTCCAAAGTACTGAGAATCCTCGCCAACGAGAAAGCGCCTGTGAATTTGAAGAATGGATTTCACGTTGTAGGATCTTTGGATTGGGAGAAACTGCCTCAGTGTCCAAACCTCTTATAAATGCTTCTAAAACTCCCCTTGGAGAGGAGGTGTCTTCTTTCTCCTTTTCCATCTCGAAACATCTCAGGTCTATAATGGAAAAAATCAGTGATTGTGGCAGTGGAACTAACATGTAGTTGTACTTGTACTTGTCCAATTGAACACATGAACACATCTGATTAATAGAAAGTCATAATGAACAAAAGAGATTGAAAATATTACCTTGGGCAGAAGCAGAGGATGAAAATTTACAACCTTGTCTTCTGTACCATACTCTAACAGCCTTTTCTTTTGAATTCATACCATTCTTTCTGCATAGCATAAGCAATTCTGACTATCAATAAGAGTACATAATCAGAAAAAAAACCAAAAAAAAAAAAAAACCCTAAAAAATTTAAAAATTTTCAGAAAATATTTGTCCCGATTATGTAAATCAATTGCAAAAAAAAAAAAAAAAAAAAAAAAAAAAAACTGGAAAACCCGAAAGTACTCAAAGTCCATAAGCTCAACAACCAAAAAAACAATAAATTGAAAAACTCAAACTTAATTTCATACATCAATTGTATTCAGAAAATATCATCTAATCATGTTCTGCAACTACATAACTGTAAAAATCACCAAAACCCATGAACTATGAAACTAAAAGAACAACAACAGAAGGTAATAATACATGAGATTTCACTGAACACAAAATGGGTATCTAAAAATTCCCTGTATCAGCATAGAATTATAAACAAAATAAACAAAAACCAAGAAGATAAATAGCGAAGAGCATTGAAAGAAATTGGAAAGTAAAAGAAAATCCAGAAACAAACGTACCGCAATGGAAGAGAAGGTTCAGCCATGAAAGAAAGCAGGGGAAAATGAATAATATGAGAGAAGTGGTGAGCTTAGCGGCGGCCACTGTTTTTATTATTTTCTTTTTGAGGCTAGAAAATCGAGGTATTTTCCAGGAATCTAAAAGCAATCTGGGAAAATTTTCACTGTTGACAGGTGGAAGAAGGTTCACTGCCACGCACCGACTTGGACTCTCAAAACCTTAAACCCTTACGCTGCACCACTCTCTCAGACACACACACACACACAGATATATTCATTGTTGAGAGAGAGAGAGAGAGAGAGATAGTGAGTGAGTGAGCGTGTGTTAGAAGTTCGAACGTTAATTTAACTGAAATCAAAGTTGGGGTCGTTTTGTTTGGTCCAATCTTAACTTTTCCCTTGCAGTCAATTCTTTAAATTAAAAATTAATTACTGCTTCCATTTATTTAAGGAATTTAATTTTTTTAATAGTATAATTATTACATTTTAAAAAAATTAATTTTTTAAAATTACTCTTTAATAGTATATTTTTGAAGAATATTAATGTCATAATTATACTTTTTATGTTGTTAATGAAATTAAAATAAGGATAAAATAAAAATTTTATATTATTTTTATACTTAATTTTTGAAAAGAAATTAATATTTTGAAATAATAAAAAATAAGATAAAAAATTAATATTTTGAACGAAGGAAATATATACTAACGCATATGGTACTATTTGCAATTTTGCCAAAAATGCGTTTTGAATTGTTTTAAGGATATCTTTTGGCAATATTTATATGCGCAAATTGCAAAAAAAAATAAAATAAAATAATAAAAACTCAAAATTTGAGTCATAGAACAAAATAAATTTTAAATTTTATCAATTTAAACTTTATACTTTGAATTTGTTTTTAATCTAAATCATTTGTCTATTTTTATTAAGTAAAATTAATGAAAAAAATATATATTTTAGTCATTAAACTTATGAAAATGATTATTTTAGACATGTTATGTATATATATTGAGTTTAATAACTAAATACTATTTTTTTGTCGGTTTTATTTAATGAGAATAGGCGAATGATTTAGATTGAAATTAAATAAAAAGATTAGAATTTAAATTGATAAAATTAAAAACTCAGAATTTATTTTGTTAAAAGGTTCAAATTTTGAATTTTTTTTGTTTGTTTGTCATTACCCCTATTTATATTATTGTTTTTGTTTTGTCTAAATAATAAAAATAAATTAAATTGTAAGAGAAAACATTTTGACAACCATTTTGCTTTTTAAAAATATAAATAACTTAAAAATATTACAAAATTGAGAAATAATGTATTTTCACTTGTTTTGAAAATAATTTTGAAGAAAATTATATAAAAAAATTCCAAAGTTTGACTCTTGTAATAAAAAAAAATCTTAAATTTTTAATTGTGTCAATTTAAATCCTAATATTTTAATTTATTTTCGATCTAAACTATCAGTTTATTTTCGTTAAGTAAAACCAACAAAAAAAAAAATATTTTAGTAAACTCTAATATTTTGATTTATTTTTAATTTAAACTATCAACTTATTTCCTTTAAGCAAAACCATGAAAAAATTATAAAGGAAATAAGTTGATGGTTTAAATTGAAAACAAATTAATATATGGGGAATTGACCAGTAAATCCCATTTTGTGGACTTGTAATCCATGAGATCCTAAATGTTTTCTTGGTTACTGAATGGTCCCTTAATTTGTTTGTTGACTATTTTGCCACTATTAGTATTATTGGTTGATTGGCATGGGTTGTATAGGAAAGGTGAATGAGTGTTTGTGTGTCACGTTGATCGGAAAAACGCACTAATACCTTTTTTAATTTAGTAGGTTTGTAACACGCGTAAAAATGAAACGTGGTAACGTCATAGTGTTGTTTCGTACGTGACGTGAACACGCAAAATAAGACACACTGAAATGGTTTCGAATTTCCATTTCGGATTTTTCACAACTCGAAATCAGAACCAAAATCACGAGTTCACATTTCTACAATTCAAGTTCATACAATCTTTTTGTTCCTAAATCGGGGAATTGCAAGGCTACAAGCTAAAGCACCAATAATCAAAATCAAACTCGCCAATTGAATCACAGACCATAAACTAAACTTCATCATCTTGTACTCTTCAGGAAAATCTTCATCCAAAGAAGGACCATCGTCGTCGATTTCACTGCTTGTACCCAAAAACCCATTGTTCACGTCGATCTGTCAGATTCCTTCATCATCGTCTTGTACTTTGATTTCGGGTCGATCTGACGATGCCAATGTGGTACACCGACCTGCCGGATTGACGACCATCTTGTACCCATTGTTCACGTTGATCTGACGATGTCGACGTGGTACACCGAATTCCTTCCAAAAAAGAACCATCCTCGTCGATCTGCCGGATTCCTTCCAAACATTGTTCGTCGTCGGTTTCACTGCTTGTGGCCAAGAACCCATTGTTCACGTCGATCTGCCCGATTCCTTCATCATTGTCTTGTACTCTATTTTCGGGTCGATCTGACAATATCGATGTGGTACACCGACCTGCCGGATTGACGATCATCTTGTACCCATTGTTCACGTCGATCTGACGATGTCGACCTGGTACATCGAATTCCTTTCAAAAAAGAACCATCCTCATCGATTTGCCTGAAGAGTACAAAATGATCGTCGATCTACTGGATTCCTTCCAAACATTGTTGACGTCGATTTTATTTGTTCGCCGGTTTCCCTCCTAACATTGTTCATGATGATCTACCATTTTCATTTTGTTTGCTTCGTTCGTCCATGTTCTGTGACATTGTTCACGTTTGCTTGGTCAATCCAAACATTGATCTGCACATTCCAAAACCATAGAACTTCCTGCAAAAAACCTAAAGAGGGCATAATCGTCCCACCAATACGAAGCTACATTTGAAACGGGACTTCTTGGTTACAATTTACCATTACAAAGGACTTGCCAATCAAACATTTGGACCGTGGGGCCAACTGGTGCAACTTTTTTCAAATCAGGACTTTTCAATAATTTTCCCTTAAGATTTAAATTGATAAAATTAAAAATTAAACATTTATTTTATTATAATAGTTAAGCCGTTGATTATTTATTTATTTATTTTATTTTTCCCTCCATAAACTGTAACTCCTCTGACCACCCCTCCTTTCACTCACCACATTTGCCAATGCCATCCCAAGACTATCATCCTTGGTAACGTCCCACAGCATTCTAAGCACATTTTTTTTAGAAGCTCACCAGATATATTAATTTTAATGAATTTTGAAAACATGTGTGTGTACCAAATAAATTTTTTATGCTTATTTTTCAAAAAATAAAAATATTACCAGATGCAACCTGCATATTATGTTATGATCCAGTTTATTAACCCTTCACAAATGTATTTTATAATAATATGTTTCCAAATGGTTTTCCTTTTTATATAAAATAATTCCCATCTATTAAGGATAAGCAAATGCCTTTTCTTTTTTTTTCCATAGTTCTATAATTTTATTTATTTATTTTGTGGTGTTAATTTTCTTTTGCTTCTTTAAAAACAAAAATTAGGCTCAACTCAGTAGGAGAAGTCTTCCTACACCTAATTTTTAGTTTACATTTAGCAATCATGAATTCACAATCTTAAATTAGGAAATTTGGCAATCATAATTGAAAAAGTGTTACTTTACATAGCATTCAATTTTACTTTTTAAGTAACTAAATATTTATTATTCAACAAATTTTTTATTTTATTTATTTATTTATTTATTTTGTTGTTGTTGTTGTTGTCGTCGGCATCGTCGTCAATCAATAGAAGAGTAATTACATATATAAAAATATTACATCCATAAAAAAATATTACATCAACTAGACCAATAATAACTAACCTGAGACCTTACATCAGAAAGTAATGCTATACAACCACTAAGCTAAAGGCTTAATTGTCTATATATACAATAATAAAGTAAAGGATGATTCTATTTACATACACCAAACCTTTTAGTGCACACAATTTTCTCAATACACACGACATATATTTTCAATTCTTTGATTTCTTCTCACTTCACACCATCAATTTTTTAAAAATCCTAAATTATCCTTATCTTCCTCAACTCTTTACCCTAACCTAACCCTAACTCTAACCCTCAACAACCACTCATTGCTACCACCTCTGCTGCTCTATGCCACCATTGCTACCTCCCCAGCACCATCACCCAATTGCCACCCTTTCTACTACACTCCTCCTTTCCCTGTTACCCCCTCTCCAAACCCTAACGCCACAGGTTTGTGATTCATTTTAGCATAGGGTTTTCAGATCTTCATCAGTAGCGGGGAAGGGCGGCACGAGTTGCAACGAGGAGAGGCAACTTGGGGTGTGGCCTTAGTTGGTCGGCGAAGGAATGGTGGCGAGGTTGTGAGGTCTAAGATCAACTGGGTTCTTCACAGATCAAATCCGAGGGTGGCGATAAAGGCGTGCACTGGCAGAGATGAAGGAGAAAAAGAAGAAAGGTTGTATCGGTGGTGATGGTGATGGTTATGGTGATAGCTAGTGTGGTGTGTGAATAAGTGAGTTTTTGGGTTAGGTCTAAAAGGGTAATTTAGCTAAGGGATACAATAGGAATTAAAAAAAAAATAGTAAATAGTGTGCACCGAGAGAGTTTGTAATGTGTAAATAGAATTACCCTAAAATCTATTATTTGTCATCATTCAACCACTATATGCTCAACTTCTAATTCATTGGTAACTCTAACAAGGATTTAATTATTCATGTTTAAGTAAAGGGTTTGATGTCATATTTCAACAACTATTCCACATTTATACAATTGTGTTTGAAGTAAATTGAATTATAATAAACATATAATTCATATTTTTGGTTCTAGTCTTAACAATATTGAAATTAGTAATTTTTTGCTTTGAGAAATAGTGTTACAAAAAAATGTAAAATTTAGTTAAATGTGCTGCTAATATATGAGATAAAGGCACTTGACCTTAAAAGTTGTTGGTTGTAGTGGAATTGGCTTATTTGTTTGTTTTTTTAGTTTTTAGTGAATAATAATAATAATAATAAAGATTTTGTACTTTTAAATTTTACTTGACTAGATGGGTGAATAAAATAATAATAATAATAATAATAATAATAATAATAATTTTTTTTTTTTTTTGAAAAAAGTCAATTAAAGAAACAAAAGTCAAAGATTTTTTTAATTTATTTATTTTTTTTGAAATGCACTCTAAAAAATATTTGACACAAATCTTAAAACAAATACTAAAATAAAAAGGGAATTCGGGTGAAAAATTCAATTTTGGTTTTGTTTGCCTAAAGGTTCAGG